CACCTTTTCTAGTCGCTTGATCCTTGAGCCAAAGTACATATGGTACATATATATATGTACATGTTGCACTGTACATGTCGCTGCACTTCCATTCGCACATATAATCTCTCCTCAACCATGCAAATACAGCAACATACTGATACGATGGTACAGAAACCAAAGTTTGCTCATGCCCATTCAGCCTTAGATACATCAAGAAATTCCTTAGAGAGAAGAACCCAGCTCGCCACAGTTTGATTGCAATCAACGAGTGGCAAGTGCATCCAGGCTCTTGCAGTCCTTGAAACTCTCCGAACTTCTGAATGACACCGACCGATCCGGTCCTCGGCGGCATGCTGGCACCACTTCCCACGTGGTTGGCCAGTTCCACTTCCCAGGCACCTTACGCTCCCCGACATGTTCATAGAAGTGGATGCCATGGCCATGGCCCCTTGGATGACCAGTTTCCTCTACAAACAGGTCGTTGTCCACTTCCATGAGCAATTAGAGGAGTGTATATACTACTACACTAATATATATATATATATGTTATAGTATATACATATATATTCTATAGTATATATATATGTTGGGTCTATCCTATTACCTGTAACAGTGGATGATGATGGTTAGTAAAGGCCTTGTTCAAAAATGATGACAATTGTTTACTGACTGTCACAGGTAATAGGACAAAGCCTCTATATATATATATATACAGTAATTTGTTGCCCAAGCATCTCCACGCAAGACCCGCAGCAACACTGGCACGACATGACGGAGGCTCAGTTGAGGGCTGGCTGCAGGCTTCCGCTTCAAACAGCTGCAACAAGGCACAACACTGAAGTCAGCAAACCGCACAACCGTGGCTAAATGATGCTAAATGTACATTGTCTGTGCTGAGCCGTATCTGCCTGTCCTCTAGTTACATCGGTAGCTGTGTATTGGCGTGGTGCACTGCAGAAAGACTCCCCGCAACAACTCACATCGGATGCGTGTCCGTGTAGCGATGCTTTTGCGCTTTAAGCGATGGATTCCTCAAACATGTGGCAGTAGTCCATGGATATTTGCGTAGCGCCGTCCCAGGAAGAAAAACACACCACTCCCATGCCGCATGAGCTGGGCCAAGGTGCATGTGCTGGGCTTTGGCTGTCGAAGTGACCTGAGAGCGGAACCTCTTTACGTCTTAGTGGCTAGTCAGTCTTGTGATCCAACACGCTGAGATGGAGGAATAGTCTCTCTAGCCTCTCTGAAACAGCCTCTCTAAAACAAATACAAGTTTGGAATCAATATCATAGTATATCATAGTCAATTGCAGGAGCAGTCCCTTTTTCGAGCCCTACTGTTGGACACTTATTATCCCAGTGCAGCAGCGGCTGCACAGTCAAGCCGCTGTAGTTCCTTTGAACCAGTGCAGATCCATCTGCCACACTGACATTGCCCACCTTCCTTGGGAAAACTGCCAGGCTTCTTGAATATGCACAACTCGCGCACAAGCTTGCAAAGTCTTGAGAGGAAAAAAACAAATGTCTCATGCCTTCTTTTGATGTCTTTGTGTTCAGAATGCTGAGTGGCCAAGTCAAAGTCATTTGACTAGGAGTTGGCACGGGATATACCAACGAACTTGTGTTCGTGGCTGGCGGTTCTTTCACCAAAGATCCACAAAAAGCGTGCCTTTGGGCCCAAAAAGACCTATTACTGATGAGTCCCAAATATTTTTTGCCTCACATCTTCCTGTATGGTTGCCTTTCACGCTGTCTACCACAGGCCGGGTGACCCCTCCGACTAAACCCCTCCGGGTGAGCGATGCGTAGCGAGCGGCACATGTTCCTGAAGGCATCCACAGGTGCCCAGGCGCACCACAGCCATGGGACCCTTCACCACTGCTCGCGCTTCGCGGAGAAAAAAGTCCTAAACAATCGAGGTGCTCAGCAGGGAGGAAAAAAGGCGAACACTGGAGAGAAGACTAAACGCATAAGAGACATGGTTAGAAATTGGCCTACTAATAGTCGAACTATCATGAACTATCATCTTGTGTGAAGCCAATTTGCGGGGTTTGGGGGCGTCTTCACTTTTGATATTACAAAAGAGGTACTGTAGCTGAACATGGCGCACCCAAGCATACTTGGATGGATGATAATTACCCCGAGAAACGATCACAGGATCAGCACCAATCATCTGATCTGAAGAAGGCTTTGTCAAACTCTATCCATGGCATCACCAAAGTTTCCGCCCTCTTCCCCAGTTGAGCCGCCATCATCGCCAAACCCATTCCAATGGACACCACCGAGAGCCTGCCAGTGCTCGTGCTCGTGAGTTGGGTGAGCGCGAGCTAGCGGACCCGAAGGTACAGAAGCATGTTGTTTTTTTCTCTAGGAGAGCTGGTATCGTTTAGGATTAAAATAACCATCAACAAGTCCAAAAACGATTCAACACATACAGTACGTGTGACAACGAGTCGCGAGAAGAGTGGGAGACATCGTCCCTTTCGGGCCGAAAGGTCCGAACCATGGTCCGATAGAGACATCGCCTTTCTCCGGCGAACTGGCCCGTGTAGGTTAAGAAGCCGCGGTCTGAAGCGAGCTTGAAGACAGAGCCCGAGTCCTGGAGAAGCAGCCACCAAAGCATACCAAAGCAAATCACATTGATCAACCACATGATCTATGATCTAGAAAGCCATCTCGTCTTCAATCCTCACATTGCGGACTAGCATGATCCAAGTGTTCATCTATGTTCACTTCCCAAGCCCCCCGGTGCCACCTCAGCTTCCAAGAATCCGCTCAGCAAATCCGCTCGCGTGTGGTGCCCTGGCCAAGCGAAACCGCCAAGAAACACCACAACCATCCACAACGCGCTACAATGCCGAAACGGCTTCGCTTGGGCTCACGTGGATCTGATTCCCTGGAGTCCTGGAGCTTCAAACCTGTCTCCCATGCCTTTCTTTCTGGTCTCCCATGTCCAAGTTCTTTCCCTTTCGTCTTTCCTGCTGGAGCCTCGCTCTTTTCTGGGAAAAAGGCAAAAGGCTCGGATTGGGGTGATTAGATCAAAACGAAAGAAAGGAGGCCTCCTTTGGACCTCGGGCTCCACTTGCTCCACACCAAAAAGTAAACGGCTTATGGTTGATGGCGGGCTGGTCATGAAGAGCCGCCCTCCGATGACCGACCAACCTGGTTCCAAATCTGCCTTCCTGCAAGACTACATGCCAAGTGCATGATATGACAAAACAGCAAACAAACAAAGATCACAGAAACACATCTGATCCTCTTCCAATCTCACTAAGATTGCACACAAATACTCGGCATGAAAAGAACTGCGGTCGCGTCGTGGGTGGCTTCTCTTGGAATCATGTTAACGGCGGCAGGGTCACCCACCACGATCACTCGGTTGGCCAGCTCCTTGGAATGTGGGCAGAAGTTTGGCAGGAATGAGGTGGGGATTGATTTTATATGAATCGGACTTGGGTTTGCTTCCGGGTCAACCTGTTTTTAAAAAATATTCCCGAATTGCTGGGAAATGGCAGGAAACTGGAACCAAGTGACCGGCTGCCTACTAGGCTCGCTTGCGGTCCTTTGCCTCTATTATCTCCGGTCTTTTGCATTTGGATGCATTTGGCTCCAAAGCTGCCAAGTTCTGGAGAACCAGAGTAATTAAGGGGAACTGCTCACCATCACAAATCGCTCACCAGTTCACGAATCGCTCACGACCGATCGTACGGGACGCGGAAAACACACCCGACGTCCTTCCACCCAGTCGACACAAATGTTCCAGTCAAGATTGCTGGAGACACCGCGGTTTTTTGCAGGTCAAAACCACACGCCCAAAGGTTTTACCGCCCATGGAGACGGAAGTCCCAAACGCCCGGCGGTTCGCGCTCCATCGTCCACATCTTCCAAGCATCCCCGTCCGTGAGGCCCAAGTGGAGGACACGACCAGGATCTCCGGACCTGTCGTTTCGCTGGAGAGCACACGACACACGGTCTCGTAGGACGGCCTATAGGATGGCCTGACGGTCATGGATGTAGAGCTTCGAAGAGGTGTCAACATAACATCATATAAATGCAACTGGTAGAACAAACAACAATGCATTGAGCAAGTACAAGTTAAAAACATGTCAAGTGCCAAAGTGAAGGCTGTCATTCTCTGTCCCGGTCCTCCACCTCACAGCCTCATGCATTGAAGAGTATCTGCAGTCGAAATCTTAGGTATTAGTCGGGTCTGTTGAGTCTATTACAGTATGTCTATTGGTTTCCATTCAATAGCACGTCAGATTCTTGAGCGCATTGTGCTTGCAATTGCTTTTCAAAAAAATCCTGGAATTGGTGGAATTTGCAGCACAAGGCTACCAAGAATGACTGTAGAGCACAGAAATCAGAATCAGGACTATCTGGGCTAACTTGGTTTAAATGCTCTTCAACAGCCTCTACCTAGTTTACCCTAGGCTACAAACAATGATGATTATTTTCCTGTCGAAAAGGCAAGGACCTAGGAGCAACAAAGCCAAACATGATTTTGTTTGTTTGTGTTTGTGTGTTGTCCTTGCTTTTTCATGTTTTTTCTTGGTCAGGGCTGCTCAAGAATCAAAAATGCATTTGGCCGAACTCTTTGGTTTCTTGTTTCAGAGCTTGCAAATGAAACAAACAAACTGTGGCGACAATCCAGATCAACGATACACAAAATTAGTGCCTCGCCGAAAAAATCAAAGGTCCCCTGCCTGGGCACTGCATTGGTTCCTTCGTAGACGGACTTCTTCTGGCCAATGCATGCCTCACTGTGCATCCGATTTCTCCAGGTCGGCATTCCAATTCGCTTCACGTCGTAGATTGGAGGCTACCCTGAAAACCCCAAAAAAACCTCAAACATCCGAAACAAAAAGTGTTTCAGCCTGTTTCCGCCAAAGTCAAAACACATATATGAATATATATATATATATATCATCCGTGTTTCTGTTTCAGTAACTAAGCAGTTGCAGGGACAGGATGACATGTCCAGCCGCATGTGCACTTAACCAAACACATGCGGAATAGTCGCTTTCGTGCGTGCTCTGGACTCTAAGAAGCCCACAGCCCACCAAGTGGACCTCCCCACTTCAAAAATCCACATCAATAGCCGCTACATGCTCGTGATCACCATAAAATAGTCCTTTTATGTCCTTTTCACAACTCCTCTTGCTTACGCAGCAGCTGCAATAGTTGTCCAGCATCTATGGATAGGTATGGTGCATTCTGGCGTGCCTAAACCGCCTCCGTTGTCCCAAAAATGGCAAGCCTCCATAGTCGCCTCTCGGATGAATGAAGTCAATCATGGTCGCCCTGTGGCCATGCTCAACCCACCCAACGAAACGTGCCTGTGAGTTGAGCCTCGTGAGGGCCTACCAGTTGAGCCGAGCCGCAACGAGAGGGAAAACAACTCGTCTTCGTCTTCTTCAAATCTTGAAAAAGAAGTCCAAGGATGAAGGATCGATATTTCGGGATGTCAACTCTACTCCCTAAAATGCCCCAAACCTCCAAAAAGATCCAAAAAGACTTACACTCCGACTGATGAACATGGAAGTGGAGCTCACCAACTGTTTGTAGAAGAAAACAGTTATCCAAGGGACCATGCCATCCACTTCCATGATCATACCAGGGAGTGTGCAAGCCCTTCTGTGCATAACCCCCTTTCTCATGATCCCGCCTTCCTCCGCTTTGCTTCTGGCTCGTCCTCGCCCATGGCCAATTGCCACAAAGGTGAAGCACGAGGCTGAGATAGAAGCTTGGGCGACAGCGGCTGCTGTTCGGCAAAAATGACAACATCCACGCGCCCCAAGCCTCAAGCCACGGACGCTGCATTTGCGCGTAAGGTGAGAGCCTCCGAATCGCAAGCCTCATCCCAGCCTCATCCCCCCTCTAGATAGACCAAACCATTGTAAACCACTGACCACCACATCGGACTGCTGGGTAGAATTGCCCACAACGGACCAATAATTTAACATCATACAATATTTATAACAGTTGATGTACAACTTTACAACATGAACATCTCTGCTGCAAATGATTGCACAATGTTGAATTCGGCCCTCAAAACCCTGAAATCCTGCTCCCGTTTTTGCACCTCCCAGCAAGCTAGGGCCTGCCAAAGAGGACAAAAGGCAGCAAAGAAACCCTTGACCGCAAACATCCCAAACCCTCTTTGAGATGATTCGAGACTACTGTAAGTACCAACCAACCAATCAATCTCTGAAGAGAGGCTGTACTGCCCTAGACCTTCACTTAATGATGTGCCTGAGTGCTACAAAAACCTCCAACCTACCACCTGCAAAGACATGTGTATATACTGTAAATATAGCAGTATATGTATATATATGGTATTCCGGAAAACAAGCATATATGTGCAGCCCTTCAATTGCATTGATATAAATACAAATTTATCTACATTACTTCAAACTTCAAGGGGAACTGTGAGAAGGCCAGGGCCCAAGAACAAACACTTGTTTGGATATCATCCTGGAGTCATCCTTCTCAATTCTCAGCAGAGTCATGCAACTGATGGATTTTTTACTACCAAGGAAGGAATGGCCAGCACTATCCAACACTGCAAAGGTAAATGCAGTTCTCTACTATTATCCTTGGTACAGATGCGTTAGGACTTTGGTGGTCCGATGAGTTCGGACTTGCAAAGTCCATCATGTGTATTGGGATGGTGGACATGCCCCAGCGACTCAAGAGATGGGGAAACACATAGGGGAACCCTGCCTGGAAGTCCCATCTCGCGGTCGGAGCAGGTTGGGGGGACACACTGTTTGTCATGTTTGTTCACTGCCCCAGCCTCATCACCTAGGAGTTATATATGTATGACAAACTGCTCCAACAGTACCTTTCCACATGGGATAGGACTCATGGTTCTTGGTGTACCTCTGCTAACTCCTATTGTATAAGTCATGGGTACACAGTATATACAGTTTATAAGTCGAGTACTGTAGTCACTGGTGGCATGATAGTGGTTCAGTAGCAAATTCGTCAATTAAAGGGGCTAAGGGCCTGGACGGCGGCCCCAGAGTCTTCGGCACATCCTTTGCAACAAACCTGGAGTCTACGGAGTCTACGGATTGCTGCGTCAACTCAAGCAACATGAGTTGGGCCTTGCAGTAGCATACAGGGCAAGAATGTGCAAGACGTGCTCTTACAAGTTGAGTTGGGCCTTGCAGTGCAAGAAGCGCTGTGCCACAACAGGCTTCCGTCCATGTTGCACTCTCGACCTGCCAATAACATTGAAGGTGACGGTTTGCATGGATAATATATCATGATACTGTAGCATACTTCCTGCATGTAGATCTTCATGTGTTAGCTGCTAGTGGTGGGGTGTGCTGTTTCAAATCCTTTATATACTGCCGGCTCGCTGCATATCTGATTGTTCATAAGTCTTTTGGCACACGTCGGACGTTGACAAAAAAAATACATATGTCCAGCTCGTCGTCTCCGAGGGGCAAAACACAAAATGACACGTCTGTACACCTCTTCTAGGACCTCTTGTGTGAGTAAATTATGCAGAAAAAGGCATATATAGTATACTACAGCAAGTAATTGCAACCTTTAGTTTCTGGTCAAGTATCGGAAATTCCGTCATGGTCATGATTGAACAAGAATCATTCACTGTTGTGTGTGGTCATGGTCATGATTAAACAAGAATCATTCACTTTGGGTTCACGAGACAAAATGTATACAACGAAGTACTTGACCGGGATTACATAAATATATAATAATATATATATATATTATATAATATCTTGTTCCTTCCTCAGACTCTCCCCCACTCTCCCTCTGCTAGGCACAATGAAATACCTCACATGTCACAGGCAACCCCACCGGCACTCCAATCAGGCGTTCACGGATTCGGCGCCTGGGGCGTCCAGCGCCAGAGGGACGGAGGCTTCTACTTCCCTTTCACAACTACCAGTATATACTCATAGAAATCCAGCATATTCGAAATATTATCAAATATATTCCTCTATGTTACTTCTTCTGGCTGAAACTTATCATAAACCCTGGAACTGGAACCAAACAAGAGCTCTCGCAGCCAACTCATAAAGTGGAGCTGCCAAACTCGGGAAGTTTCAGGAGTTTTCGGGCACCCATGTCATTTCAACATTGTGTTTTTGGGACACATTGTGTTTTCGTCATCTCAACATTTCAGCCTGTGCTTCCCCACTAGGTGCTTACCATGTATATGTGCCAAAGGTTTGTGAAATGAGTTGAAACAACAACGTGTATAAAACAAAAACATAATTACACCAACACCTCGTAGAATTGATTGCCCAGCACATCTGAGTTTTGCAGAGTGAATTGAAGACTACCCTGCCGTTCCCTGCAATCTTCAAGCTGTCTGTATATACAGTACGTGGACCTTCCAACTGTGCAACATGTCTGCCTTTGGGCCGGTTTTATAGATGAACAGGTGCAGAACTTCTGCATAATGTCAACCTATGATTAAGTAACCTCCCCTAATTAATCAAGCCCAGCTCGAGCCCCCCTAAACTAATCAACTATTTAACCTGAATTTCCACCTTGAGATCCCCCTAATATGTCGTTTCCTGACCACAAACCTCCCCCCTACTAATCAAGCCCAGCTGCCCTAGTTTTATACTGTTTTATTTTGAAGTTTACTGTATAATGTTTACTATAATAGTTATATATAGTTCTGTTTTATTTACTTTCTCATCATCAATCATCAGGTGATCATCTTTATTAGGGGGGATGTGGTCCTCCAATACCTCCAATCTGAAACCTTGTTGATCCTGTTGACCTTGAAGGGGGCAGGGTCTGTTGATTAATCCGACGTCGACATTGATGAAGTTGGATGATATTGGAAGATCCATATCCACTATCTTCCAATATCTTCCAATATCAATGTTCCACTCAACATCTTTCAATCTCTTCCAATATCTCCGCAGCTTGGATATATCCCCCTTCCACGCAGCTGAGGCGCCAGGTGGGGTTTTTGGCTCCACCTCCAGCAGTGACGACCTAAGCGAAAGGTGCAAAAGGGCCGAGATGGCTCGAGACTCTGTCGAAATGGGTCCAGGGATGGGTCGAACTTTGAGAACTTTCACCCCGTCATTGGTCTAAGAATGCCGCTGCTTGGAATTTGCCCCTGCACTGGAAAGTTGTCCAAGAGCTGAGCAGTTGAGAAATGTATATATACAATATCCCAGCATGTAAACATATAATAAAAACTGTTACAGTAAAGAAACATACAGTACACTCTGCACCTACTAGTGAGTTGGTTGCAGCTCTGGTACGCATGAAAGTGAGTTGCACGTTGGCGTTCGCATTGCAAAAACTGATCGCTGCAAGGCCGCAACGCGGCTCTTACTCAGTGCGTTCGCATAGAACATCGTGAACCGCAGCGGCTTCTTGAAAGTCATGAAAGGTCTGTATGGTCATGGCCTCACGCGGAACCAGCGAGCTTCAACCCTCAGAAACATCCACAAAGTGCTCCACAAGGTCCAAAACCTGAAGCACTTGAAGCCATTTTGGTGGCAGGTACCATCCCTCACCAACGTCCGCGCCCAAGTCATGGCCGCCGGTGGCCCGAGCGGCTCGTCTCAGTGGTGAAGCACCCAGCTCACCAAGCTTCTGGTAGCCAGTGGCCTCCGGTGCCGATCATGTCGCGGCACCGGAGCATTTGGAACTATTTTTTCCGGGAAAAGGCATTCCCTATAGGCATCCAAGTACCTTGTCAGAAGGTGATTGGAGACACTGCTATGTAGGTTTGGAGGGTCCAAGTACCTTCTGAGAAGG